CCATTTCTTGTCTTCAAGTATACAATTAATAGAATAAAGAAATCACTTTACAACCATCCTCTACCTACCAATCTAATAATTCATTTAGGTATAACAAATAATGGTTTGTAACAAATTCTTGGTAAAATGCCACTTATAAATTACAGTAGTGCTTAGACTTGGTTAAACATTTAAACTGTTTAAATCATTAAAGAATAATTCTATTAATGTACAAATCGGCATCAGCTAAATTTCACCCTTCTCATAATTGTAATGAATGTTGGTATAAAATAAAATAAATAAAAATAACCACTCATATTTAAAAAAAATTGTTTTATCCAAGCACAATGTGAAGTAACACGCCAATAAATTATTAACTAAGACTGTGCCTAAAAATTTTTTTTTTAGATATAATCAGCATCGAAGAGAACTATATGAATCATACTAGGATCTTATATACCTTTTGGAACCCCTTACATGCCTTGTTAATTACAACATGAGCTTCATCATTCTTCACTGTTTTATAAAGGAAGAAATGAATAATAAATGAAGATGAATCAGCCTGCAGTCTCACCCACTACAATGGCCCGAGGACACTGGTTGCCACGACAACAATCAAATTCAGCCCAATGTGTCAGAAATCTGTAAAGCCGCTGTAATTTTATTTGTCATCCGAAAGGAGAAAAGCATGTATAGTAATATAATTTAATTATTAACATGTTTAAGAATAATTGCTATTTGGTATCAGTAGCCATCTTCAACAAAAGAATCCAGGTTAACCTGGTCAAAAAATGACTTGGTTTTAAGGTATTAATTGTCCCAAATAACCAGTTTCACTGGATGAACAAACTTTGATTTAATGTTGTATACCATCGATTTATTATGTTTTGGTAATACTAAATGAATTTATCACTGTTGTTATGACAATCATTACCTTATTGAAGAACTAGAGCTATCATTATGTATGCTGGGTAGTAAGGTTTGAGTTAACTTACAAGTCTCTTGAAGGTTTGCATGGCGGGTATCAATAACAAAATCATTAATCTTTTGGTAAGCCATGTGTAAAAACATGGTCTTTGAGGTAAAACCACTGGTTGGTTGTCTCAACATTTTATTAGTGACATTGTTCTGACCGCCATCAGCTTTTAAGTTGTCCGCCGAAAAGTGGGACAAGGACACCAATAAAAACACAGATATTATGTTATTGCTGATATTGAAAGTGTAGATGTTTAACCATATTCACATGATTCTCTCAAGTTGCGTGCTTTATTAGTATAATCATCTATATTAATACAATTACCTAAAAATGACCCATATTACTTCCTCTGAAAAAGAAAAGGCATTTCATAGCAGAGGTCACTGTGGTTGCACAGTCAACAAGGGAGTACTGACATCTCTCAGAGGGTTACCTCTGTGCAAATACTTAGCTGTTAACCATTGATTAAATGAAGCATAAAAAACATGATTTCTGCTTTTTTTCCAAGATAATAATTTTAGAAAATTAAGAAGGCAGCAAATTTCATTAAACTATTTAAAAAAAATCTTGTTTTCAATATTACTATATTACTGGTAACTAATTATATACATTTATGGGTTGTACAATAGAAATATGTAAAGTAGCTTCTTACAAATATATATCACTATATACATTTTCTAGGGTTGATTGCTATTTTCAAACCCAGTCTTGAAGTTTTCCATCCAATCTAACGCTAATTCCATTGCCCTTCACTCACCTTTATTAACCTCCTTGCCTATCATTAAAATCTACTCTTATTATTAGAGTTTACTAATGTAATTACAACCCACCCTTAAAATGTCAACCACTCACCCTTAGTTATCTACAGCTACAACCCTGAGTATAATAAAAACTAGTTAAAATATTTAAATTGGTTGATTTCAGTTTGCATTAAAAGATTAAACTTTTAGTTTATTCTGGATACATTATCCCCAAAGTGATTTATATTTTCTGTACATCCTACAGATCATTTTGATTTATAAATCAAGGTGGTTAAATTGACAGGTAGATTTCTTTGTCAGAGCAACATGGAATAATATACTATAGTAAACAATAGAATAACACAGTATATTATGAATCATATACTATGTTATTCTGTAGTATTGGATGTACCATCATAAATGGATGGGCAGTTAAGCCTAGACAAATTTGTTTATGCGTAAAATACTGTTTCCTTTTCAACATCCTTATCATCAGATTGACTATCAAATTCAAAATAATTCTTAAAAAAGTGTGTCACTTTGATTTCTAGGATACAACGTTTTAGGGAGAGGAACAGAAACCTTTTTTACTAAATTTACAATTTGTATCTTGTCCATATTCTGGTTTTTACATTTAAAAGTTTACTAAAAATCAAATACATAATTCTTTCTTGTAATCTATTATCATAAGTAATTTTTAAATTGAGAAACTTAGGGCACAGAAAAAATTATTAGATTATCACTCTTTTTTTTAAAAAAAAAGTGATGAGGACGGGCATTTTTTTTTTTTTTTTAATTTGGAACAATAGAATACTGCTTTTTTTTACATAGAGAGGGAGGGACTGTTTTTATTTGGCAAGAATATTGTAAATATTGTATAAAAAGTGATTTAATTTTATTGTTTTTCTTTTACAGAAAATGTATTTCCAGTCACAAAATTGCAGTGGTTTTTTATGCTGCTGAAATAAATGGCAAAACAAATACTTCTTTTTCATTCCCGCATCAATATTTCCCAATTTTTTGACGCGGGTGGAAGTGATTATATAACAATTTTTTCTATGTGCCCATAAGTGTACCAAATCTTCTTGAATTAAGAAATTTAATTCATATTCTTCATATGGTGTGGCAAAACAAATATTTCTTTTTCATTCCCGCATCAACATTTCCCAAATTTTTGACGCGGGTGGGAGTGATTATATAACAATTTTTTCTATGTGCCCATAACTGTACCAAATCTCCTTGAATTAAGAAATTTAATTCATATTCATTTAACTTTCATAACTCCAAATTTAAATGTATCAAACATATAATTTTTGATGATTCAAAATTTAAGAATATGATAATTTACATGATCAATTTATATCGAAATAATACGATTAAACCAAAATCTTATTTTAAGTATTATTTTAACAAAATAAGAACGGAAACAGCAACAAAAGTGAAATTATTAGGGATTACAAATATTTTGACTGATACAGCTAAGATAAATACAAAAGCAACTTCTAGACATAGTAAGCACACAAGTACACATGTATCAACGGATGTACAAGTACACATAGTTTCATTTCAATGACTGTGGTAAGTGCTATAATTGGCTGTTTACATAAAAAATATAAAAAAAATTAAAACTTGTTTATCTTCATTAAATTTTCAGTTTGAAACAAAAAATAAAAAACAAATTAACAAAAATATTTTCCAAAATCAAAAAAATATCACACTTCTTAAGGCAATTAGTAAACTTTTTCAATATCAATATCATCATTTATTTCTTTCATCCTTTCTTAAATATTTAACAAATAGAAAATAATGAAATTGAGCAATAATAATATTAGAATAACTGTATAAGTAATAGTAATTTAACATGTCAACAATAAAAGAGGCAACAGCCCTAAAAGAAAATTCGGTTGGAAAGATCAACCAAAACTTCTCAGGCTTGCCAAGTAATATAAACTAGTCCATTCTATTCCATATGACTCAATAGGATCTCGAGCAAGGGTCTAAAAGGCACATCTATTTTTTCCTTCACATGCTACATTGTTTTCTCTATTTGACAATGCAATTCTGTTTTCAATTTTCCCTCTGCCTAATTGTTTTGGAAGGCATTTTTGGTTTTAAAAAAACCTCGCAAAATTTTTACTTTTCCCATGCTAACTTCTGATCTTTGTTATCTATAAAGGCTGCCAAAAACAGGTATTAAAAAATCTTTTATTAATTCAGAGATTACCATTGTGTTATTATTCATAGATCATGAGGGTCCTACATGTCAATGGTGGGTAAGGTCATCCTACATTAATTATGATAATATCTATGACATATGATATTAATTAGTGGAGGATATTTTAAGCATGGTCTTTGGAACTAGTCAATGAAGTATTGCTCAGCTAAGTAAGTAGGCCAAGCCCTCCCTGATCCACATCATTCCTATACCAAGGGACCATTTGTCTACAATTTTTACCGAAACATGCTCTTCAACTTGCCGAGTGAACCAAAACTTTAACTCTAATACCTTATATGGCTAAGGTAACAGCATAATATATACGAAAATGAAAGGTACTATGGGTATCATTAATCAGACGACTTCCTTCATTAGCACATTAATTAACTCTATCTTTCAAATTAGCTTTTACTAGCATCCTTATTAATTATACTCTCGTAGTTTTGACACAAGGCAAAAGTGTGATCTTATTTCATTTTCTGTTTTGAAAATCTTTCGTTGGACATGTTTAAGAAAGTTGTCATTTTTTGCCAAAGTTTTTGTTAAACTTTGCCAAAAAATATGAAACACATGGATTTTTTCAAGGTGTTATATGATGTGACATAATATCATGTTTTCATAGGATGTAACTGCTGACCCTAATTAGCATCAAATATTGATAGTACTATGAACATCTAATGTTTATGCTGTGCATTTTCTGACTAGAGAGCATAGGATATGTTGGGAAGAGGGATGAAGTGAGGAGCTAATGCATGAGTACATGTGAGTGTACATATGCCAATTATACAATGTTATTGTTTCATATAATCATCATGATATACAGTATTAGTTAAGAAGTACAAAAGTTACCCATAGTTGTGATGTACCAATTGTTTTGTGTGAAATTAAAAAAAATATATAAAAATAACAAAATAATAATAATTAACATTTATTTTAACGTTGAAAAAATTGATATTAAATTAATCATCAAGGGTATCAGATATATTGGATAAATATATAAACAAAGACACATTTTCTCACATATTTTCATTGGAAATGCACTACCAACATTTATTTTTTGAAACAATATAATTAAACTAACATGGCTTACCAGTTTTTGCTTGTCCATTTGAATCAGACTGGAGGGATTTTGAAGATGGTGTCCTGTCTGGTGCATCCTGGAACTCATCATCACTTAACTGTCCACCAGCTAAATGTCCAAGACTTTTACTATCAATATAAAAGTTAGATGTGTGAACAGGAATGATCTTCCTGGAGAAGATACCGCGCATCATTATCGGCATTTTGGCTACAGTGTAAACACAACCTTAAGGACATACAGGTATAATCAGAGCGTTTAGTTTGTTTGATTTGAGCGGGACCACTCTACTAAAATCTGCTGTAATTGCTGAATCTTTCATAAACGTTAATCATTCTCGCCAAGTGTGTGCATTTCGATCTCTGTCATTGTCTGTTGTTGCTTTTTGGGTCATCTTTTACTTACGGCCAAAACACTACTGCAGTAATGCAGTAGAAAAACCATGAACATCTGCATCTTCTATTAATTATATAATGATTTGAACTCAAATCGATCAGAGTGAATTCTCAAAACATAACATTGCTGATACCTGTCAACATATAGAATATACCTCTTAGAATAATCCTCTGTAGCGTACACAAACTTATAGTAATCCAAGAAAAAACAGATTGAATTAATCCTGTCTGCCTCCAAATAAAACATAGGGTTCAAAGTCCATTTTTCTCTTTTAAACTCTTTAATATAAAAAACACCTTTTGTATGCACAAATTGGCATCGGCGAGTACTAATTTAATCTCACGATGATTCTTCCAAAGTAAAAACACTTGCGAATGTCTGGAGGAAACAGATTTAAGTGCGCTTAGGAAGCAAGAGAAGAAACTTACAAAGAAGCTCAAACTTGAGCAGCCTAGCAAATCTAATTACCCATATTCACTGGTAATACAATTTTGATTTAAAAAAAAAAATGAGTTAGCCGGACTCTGGTAAAATTATAGAGGGCGCTACACATATCTTATTATTACATCATGCGCATTCGGACGTCAAATCTAATAAAATTATGTAATCGTAGCACGTAAAATAACTAGGAACAAATCAGAGAGGAAAGAATAGTCATTCCAACTATTATAAAACAGGAAGTTATAAATTAAAATATTAACAACAATTAGCAAATCAAATCTTATGGATCAATGTTCGTCAAGACATGAATTATTGTAACAGACAAAGGAAAATGTAATCCACCTTCTGAATAACAGTCTTTAGTAAAATCTATATATTAAATTGTACTATTTATTATATATTATATATTCTATATACTATACATGCTTATATTTTTACTTATAAATTTAATTTTATATATATTATATTATATCTTGATATTAATTTCTATATTTTACTATTACTATTGTTATATTATTAATTATTTTCATTATATTTTCTATAATTAGTATTTGTCCACAGGATATAATAAAACATACCAATAAGAGCAGAATGGTTAGCATAGCAGTTCAAAACCAACAAACACTTACGACTTTGAATAACGAAAGTTTACAATTAGTGTATAGTCCCTGACAAAGACAAATGGTTTTCAGATAAGGTCCATTAACAATTACAACAATGGATAATTTGAGAAAATCTTGCAAAGGGCAACAACATGATCCTGAACATGATAGTAAGGGATAGAATTAAAAATGCTATAAAAGGACACAGCAAAGATATCACCAGGTTAGTGCACAAGACATTTTTGAAGGCTTGAAAAGCTAAAGGAAATTACTTTTATGATAATATAGAAGCTTATGTTGACTATAGGGATTTTTATCAGGGATTTTAGTCTTGGACAAGCAACCATCCCTCTCAACCCAGAAGCATAAGCTAGTTCCTAGTAGGTACAAATGCAGAAGTGATTACTAGCATACATTATAAAATACATCTCCCCAAGGAACTGAGTGTGTGTCTCGTAGGTATTGATTCATTGACCAAAGTTAATAATGTGAAGCACATAATAATATTAGAGCTTACCTGCTGACTTAAAAGCATAAAAACCTTAGGATTATTTAGTATATCATTGTTATTATTACTAAAATATTAAACTCTATGTTACATATAAAAGCACTAAATTATTAAACCATATTATATTATTATTATTATTACATGCCTTACTGATTATTGACTAATCAATCAATCAATCAATTAATCAACCAATCGACTTACTCCAGTTGTTGGTATACCCGCTCGTAATTTTCAGTCCTTGAGTACAATATTCTATTTGTTTACAAAAAAATTGAAGATGGCCAAAATTATATATTATAAATGTTACAAATTGCATGTTTTCCTCTGAGTTCAAATTCACAATTAACATCTGATTCCAGTTCGATTCTTCAAGTTCTATCCAGACTATGAAATTTTCTTTGACAAAATACTGTTGTATGCCCATATATAGTCATGATGCGCCTATACATGGTCATGTGATGTCATCATGACCATATTTAGGCATATCACATGTTTTTGTCAAATAAAATGTGATAGTCTAGACAGGGCTTATGCTTTTTATAAAGAATCTTGCACCAACCTTCTTGCTACCGACACATCGCTGTGCCGTTGATTACGATTATTCACCCGATGATTGCTCGCCGCAACCGCCCAATCTGATTTGTACGTAGAGTTCACGTATGGCTCCTCATCACCCGAGCTGACTGATTTGCGTCGTTCTTCCATGTGATGCACTAAATTATTGTTGGTACCTCGACTGTTCTTCATGTTTTTCTCGTTTGCTTCTGTACACCCCTCAGACTCCCCAGAATCCTCGTCTTCATCTTCTTCATTAAATGATGCAATGGCTCTCAAGGAGACAGCTGGTTTCATAACTTGTCAGAAAAAATATTAACAATTTTAAATAAAAATAAATTCTATACACTTATAGCAGATAAATGTTGGTTTGGAGAACTATCATCATTTGGACAGTGATATGTCTCTGATGGACACTTGTTCTTCCAAGAAAGATGGCTAAAATAAGTAATAATAACAAAAACAACAATGACAGCGGCAACAATGATGATGGCAATAGTAACAATAACAAGAAAAATTAGTTACTGGAAAATGTATTTAAATGTACATATATAATATACATACAATAATAGAAAAAGTATAGAGGAGTTACCTGAATTTGATGTTCCATCTTTGTCTGTCAGTGATGGACAAGAACAGCTAAATCTTGACAAGTTCTCCCTCCTTGATGCCTATAATCAAGAAAAACTACAAGTTGACTACCAAGCAAGAGCAATACATATAATATAAGCATAATCATAGGACGTACAATACAAAATATCCTCAACCCAAGACCTTTCCCATTAACATCCACTTGTTCCTGGTGGATTAGTTCTTCCCAATGCAAACATACATATAAATGCAGACACTTAGACATATGTCTACATATACCTATCAGCGTATGCAATAAAATGTATTTCCTTTATTATTTATATATTAATGGAAAATAAAGTTGATCTTACCTGGTCCATTAGCATTAACCTATTGCTATTTCCCACACACTAGTGACACAAAAAAAACACAAGACAACCTTGCATACATTAAAGATACTTACCTGGCCCATTAGCTCCTGTCGGTTAATGTCTTGGTAATCTTGTACCTTGTTGGTAATCTGTTGTAATTTTTGCATACTGGCTTCTGTAACCAAAGAAAAATTGAAAATACACCAAGTTAACATTAATACAACTGTTTTATTTTAGAATAATTAAGGTGAATTTTCAAAAGAGCCATGTTAGAAAGGACAATGGTTACCAATTCTGACCTCAAAAGATGATGACAGTGGTGATGAATGATAAAAATGATCACAAAATTATATTAATAATCACATATTTTATATAGCTTCCTACAAAAAAGTATCTCAGAATGACAACTAATGACAGAGGATGATACTGAATGATTATGATAGTAATCATAAGAATGTGATGATATCATATGAAGATGATAATGATGATGATGAGGAAGATGAGGATGATGTTGATAATACATAATGATGATGGGATGTATATCGGTGATCATGGTTAGGATGTGATGTAGAAATGACAATGATAATAAATTATGATATTGATAAATGATAATGAATGATCATGATTATTATTTGATTTAAGTTTATTCAGAAAATCATTGTACAAATATAACCACATACAAAATTGGAGAAAAATGAGCATCAAAATGTATAAAGTAGAGGGCAACCCAGTAAGGCAATGAGATCCAATACAAATCTATATTACCTTGTTAATTTGATGATTGATGATGGTAATGGTAATACAATAATAATGAATACTGATTACTTGATTTGTTTATTTTCATTTACTTATTGAATGGAAAACACAATTTTTGTTTTCCAAAATGGTCTAGTTTTCTTAAAATAAGTTATCATTTTAAGAACAATTACAGTAAATATAAAGAATACAAAACAGTGATAACCAAAAAAAAAAAACAAAAAAAAACAATGGTGATCATGATTATGAAAAACAATTTCAGTAACAAATAAAAACAGTTGATGACTCTGATAATGATTCTTTGACATGAATATAGAACGAACGAAAGCTCCAAATCTTACTAAAGACAGTTTCACAGGAAGATGGTGTCAGCGTCCGGTCTAAACACATCAAAATATGGGATATCAACAAATATATTAGTATCGAAATAAATAAAGTATAATTTGATTATCCAGGACAACAAAATAAAGCTGAAGGGTGTATTTCAAATGGGATCCTGCACATTATTTTGAGAAGTTAAAGCCTAACCCTAAATATGTATATAATACTTTTGGTAATGACTAAGAATAATGATGGTGATAATATTTATATTAAGGTTGGGGTAGTTGGTAAGAATGATGATAATAATAACAATATTGATGTTGATGATAATGATGACTACTAAAATCCAAATCTTACGTAGAACACAAGAAGACTGTGTCGGTGTCCGATCTGAACACTCAACGAACTCATCATCATCCTCATCATCGTCCTCCTCTTCTTCCTCATCGTCATTTTCATCGTGGAGCGGGACACCGTATCCTGCAGGGTAAAAAGAGTCAAAACCATACATAAAATATATTTATAGTAATAGTATAATTTATAGTTTATGTTTGTGTAGGTAGAGATGTTTTTGAAGTTGGTTTCAAACTAGAAATAAAGGTATTATACTATGTGTTAATACCAACTCCTATTATAGGCTGAAAATGATTCGTAAGTATTGCAGATTTAATAAAATATCCTACTAACAATATCAATAATAAAAATAACATAAATGAAAAAAAAATAGAGCAATATATAAAAAATTATTTTAAAATATTAATTTAAAAAAAAAATAAAAAAAATAAAATTCACTTAAAAAAAATGAAATAAAGGAAATCAAAATCACTTAAAATTAATATAGCAGAACCCTCCATTGGGACACCCATATTAATGGAACACCTCTACTAATTACACACTATTTTGGTTGAGAATCAAGAGAAAATACATTTTTTACTNNNNTATATATATAATAAAAAATGTGTGCTTGGATATGTAATTGTAAATGATGTATTTATAAATTGTACAAAAGATAACTACTTCAATCCTTGAATATTGACACGATCACCTGGATAACTATAAGATTATCTGAACATCCTCCATAAGCTTCAAAATAAAACTTCAAGAGCATAATATTATTAATATCAAACATGGCGTTACCAAGTCACTTGCTGCTCAATAAGGACAAAATAATTATACATAGATCAAACCAATTAAAGATATGGATATCTTACCCATTGAATTGCTGTGCGCTTGCTGATGGTGCATTAAAACCTGTTTTTGAGGCGGGTCGTCAACCCTTTTAAAATTCAAAACTTCCTGTAGCATCTGTATCTGTTGGTCTGAATAGTGAAGATAAAAATACAATGCAAATCTTATTGGATTTGTTCACATGCAGTGACTTTAAGAAGCCAGCATCAGTCAGGTCCCTTAACCTGTGTACTATATTCTTTGTGACAGTGTGTAGCTTGATACTGGCTTGTATGAAATGAACCAGTGTTGAAAGTAAGTGCTACGCATGTTCATTAAAAGATGCATAGTAACCATCACAGGCGACTACCTGGCAAAAGGTGACTAATCCTAACGAGTAAATTATGTAGGCAATGAACAGGTTTATGGATATTAATATGTTTTAAATAATAGTCTTCACTCATTAATCAACATGGACACTGGGTTATGCTAAGCAAATGCCTAGGTTTATTAGTGGGATTAAAGTACTAGTTATTTTTACTCATTAAATCTCCAATTAATTTTTCTGCCAGTGGATTGCTGATTTACATTACTAAACCTCTATTCACACTATAAAATTTCCTTTGAAAAATAACTGTTGTATACCCATATACAGTGATGATATGCCTATATATGGTCATGATGTGATGTTATTATTACCATATTTAGGCATGTCACATGTTTTTGTCAAATAAAATTTGACAGTCAGGACATAAGTAGCTAATTTTAAATTATAAATAAAACACAAAAATATCTAAAAATGAAGGTATCCCACCTTAGTAACCTTAAATTTACTTTTAAAACCTAAGTTAATGCGTACATTTCAGATCCTTGTCAGTTAAACTTGATTCGCTTTGTATTACGTTTTCAGCTTTCATTTGAAAATTAAATAACTTCCTTGTCAATTAATAAATGCATAAAGAATATTTTTCCTTTATACTTTGCAGACCCATAAATACGCTTGTATGCAATCTTTTCATAGTATTGTCTGTAAATCAAGAATCCCTGATTTTAAACATCTGTGACTTTGTCCATGTAAACATTTAATTATTTAGCATAATGGCCAAAAAATATTTGGGTCGATAGAAAAATATAAATAAACTGTACAATATTGAATTTTTCATGTCAAATACAAAGACACAACTGAATTTATAATGACTCTACAGCTATACATTTTAATAAATTTGATTTTGTTATATTCTATAGTAATAAGCATCAATATAGAAATTGTGTGTGCAATCTTTTAATCTAAATAATACATTTAAAATACTTGGCTTGAATCTGACAGGCAGGTATGGGAGTTTTTCTAGGAATTTTTACACGTTATTTGATCTAGTATTAGCAGTTAATTGCTTTTGTTTTTAAGGGTTTTTTCCCTAGATTTTAACTAGAGATAAAATAAACAAAAATGATAATGTTTCTAAAGATATGAGCATGTGTGTTGTTAGTTAAGCCTACTCAATATGGGCATAAACTATGTTTAGAAATGACCAGGTTTATGGACAGAATTATAATGGACTACCAGTTGTAAGTCATTACTTACTCAACATGGGCACTGGGCTATGCTAAACAGTCAGAATGCTTCTTATTGGAAGGTTATAGGTGTCAAGTTTTATACCAACCTAAAAATAGGTTGTTATTACAAGTCTTTAATGGATGACTATTAAATGCAACCAAAATTAACCATGGATATCATCTGTAAAAGGTTTGAACACAAGACACAACTAAGGAAATATAAATGGAAAGTGTATTTAATGATCAAAATAGTAGGTGTTCTAAATATGGATGTAGGAAGAGAATTTTTTTAATTAGTAACCTAAAGTTAAACTTCATATCCTGTTTAATACAGGAAAATTATCGGTATCATTATATAACTATGGAAATTTGATACTTTCTTTTGGGAAGCCAGTCTCTATTTCTTCCCCATTTTCTTTTATTATTTTTTGAAATCCTATTACAAAAATTATATTTATATACCATAAATTACTTGTATCTAAGTCAAAAATCTAGAAGCGCTTTTCAAAAGGTGAGTGTAAATAACAGTTTACCTTTAATTATATTATGTCATGATACTCAACAAAACAACTCCTGAGTATTAGAGAATAATCATTTTGATTCTATACTAATTATCATATCACTAGTATTTAGTTAACAATACATTATTATTATAATACTATTTTAGTGAAATAGACAGGAGGTCGCAATGAATTGCTTTCCAAATATCCAAAATTGCTGTCAGAAATTTATGAATTATAAATTTTATTTCAAGTAGATAATCATGAAAAACTCTTGTGACATAAACCAGAGCCTTGCAGGCGTCAACGTTCCTATGCATGATACGTG